GAAGGAAGGAAGGAAGGAAGGAAGGAAGGAAGGAAGGAAGGAAGGAAAAAGTGCTTTCAAAAATACTTTAACCCAAAGTAGCCTCTGAAGGTTAGGAGCTTTAAAAGCAGACAACTGGAGTCCTCTTCCTTTTTTCGCTGAGGGTATTTGGAGTCATACTGTTGTGCTAGCGTGGGTGAGATTCTTCCGGTTTCTCTCGCCAAATGCTTCTCGTCCTCCCAGCACAAATCTCCTTTACGGAGCTGCTGCACCAGGAACCTTGTTTTCGTAGGGAAAACCGTGTAAGGTGCAAAGGCACGTGGGGCATTTGAAGGAGAGGGCAGGTTCATACTAAGGTCCCAGGTTTTGAATCCTCATGCCAGAAGAGTCTCTGCTCGTTTTCTTGCATACCATCTTGCAAAGGGTTCCTATTGCTGTTGCCCAACTGGTTAGTTTCAGGATATACCCTGGAAAAAAAGCACAACCATCAGTGGGTGGTTAGCCAGGTGGTCCTCTAGAGTTCATCCAGGCGGCCTTCTTTCTAAGCAGAACTCCCAATCCTTTGAAGGGATGTCCTGAAGCCAATTTTAAGAGAAGGCAGCCTGCATTATGCCATTTCCTGACATAAATGTATGGGGGTCCAAAAACCCCAGGAAGTTAAGTGTGCATGGAGATTCTCAATCATCCAGGTCATGGTTGTCCCAAAAGTGCTTTTCCAAAAGGCAATTGACTTCCTTGGGTTTTGTTTTTTGTTTGAAAACGTTTTGCTTCTCATCCAAGAAGCTTCTCCAGTTCTGGAACTGAAGAAACTTCTTGGATGAGAAGCGAAATGTTTTCAAAGGAAAAAAAAAAAAGGAAAGTCCAGTTAACTTTTGGAAAAGCACCTTTGGGCCAGGAAGTTAAGTTCATTCCAGCTTTATGAAGGCAGGGTGTTGGAAAAATACAGATGGATACAGTCCAACAGGCACACAGCCAACAGCAGTTTAGATAACAATCGATCTGTTATACAGGCAGACCTCGAGTTAGTGACCATTTGAAGTTACAATGAAAAAAATAATACTTATAACCGATCCTCACCCTTACGACAATTGCAGCTTCCCCACAGTCACAAGTTTGTGATCCAGGCATTTGGAAACTGGCTCACACTTACGGCTGCTGCAACCTCCCACGGTCAAATGTTTGTGAATTGCGAATTTGCTAGCTGGTTTCTGACAAAATGAAGTCAGTGGGGGAAGCTGGCAGGAAAAGTCCCAAACTGCAACCACGTGATGACAACCGCAGCAAAAAAAGATAATAAAATTGGATGCCTCCCTTAACAACCGCACCCCTTAACAATGAATGATCCAGTCCCAATTGTGGTCATAAGTTGAGGACTGATGTATTTGTTTTAAGTCATCACCATTGAACGTGTAGCAATTGTAAATGATATCCTTATAACCCATTAAATTGTAAATGATATCCTTATAACCCATTAAAAAAATACACAGAAATGTATTTCTATCTCATCCCACCCTGAACATTTAGGATTGGTTTATACACAGAATATGTGTATCTATACCTCCTCACAGGAGCGGAGAAGCATTTGTTATGAAGCAAGCCTCAGTTTACAAAATGACCTTGTTGCAATAAAACAGGTAAGATTGTCCTCATTTAGCAACCATAATTGGGATTGTCAACTCAGTGAAGCAGCGAACTGTGTTTATGATCTTATTTCGGCTTTCCTTTGCTTTACAAACCGGTGAAGGTTGTAAATGCAGAGGGTTGGTTGCAAGTTACTTCTTTTATTACTGTCACAACTGTTGAATGGTTGCTAGATGAGGCAGTTGCTAAATGAGGACCCCCCTGTAATAATACTTTATAGCAAGGATGGAGAAGAAGTACCTCTTGGCTATTTAGAGGCACCCCAGTTCCTAATTTGCAGTGCACCCAAAGTATGCTGTTGGAATTTGGTAGCAAAGCCATCTCTTGTTTTGTTTTTGTTCTGTGGCAAAAATGTGCTAAATAGGCCTTGGCAATTCTCCTAAAAGATGCCATTCATTAAATAATAAAAAGGAACTCACAATTTTTGTTTGGTGATATATAATTTTTCACCTTTACGGATTTTTGTTTTTAAAAAAAATCACCTGGAGCAGGTCAGTTTTAAAAGCCTTTAAAAGCTTTAAAACGAAGCAAATGTACCATATGCTTAATTAATTTTGCTTCATTTTAAAGCAAAAAGCACTCTATCACAAGTTCGCTTCACCTTTGGAATCTGCTCAGCAATAAGCAAGTGTGTCATCAGCAACCCTCTAGTTCAAACCCCCCCCCCCCCCCCACCACCACTGGTCAAAGTGCTTGGATCCTCTTACTTCAAGGTATTTTAACATCAAGCCATTCCTGCAGATGTTAAGACAGAGAAAGGCTTTGTTCTAAGGGAAAAAAGAATTTAAGACAACAGAAACAGAAAAGAGAAGAGAAGAGGGAGCAGGAACAGGCACAAAACAGGGATTAGGGATACAAACAGGCAGAAACCTCGGGATTGGGGACGGGGAGCAATTGGCAGCATTGGAGGGAAACTTTAAGCTACTTGCTGTTGGCAGACGTGCCATGAAAGCCAAGGAGAAAATACAAGAGGAAAAAACAGTAATTAGAAACAAGGCATGAGGGTTATGGGTGGCTGAAAGTGGTGTCCTCGGAGAAGCCATCTGGATTCTGGAGGACACAAATGCATTTTGTTTTAAATGCATAAAACCTGCATTTTGCAGCTTGGTATCCCCCTCCAGCTATTAAGCCACAACTCTCATCCTCGCCAAACTCAAGTAAACAGGCTAAAGGTGGCTGCCCTGCCTAATCTTACGTGTATTTTCAGAAGCCTGATTGGAAAAGGAGACGAACAGAATACACAAGGGACGTCCGAATGACGGTACCTTTGTCTTTATTTATTCATCAAATTTGAATAGCTAGCTGCCCATCTCACAAAAAGCGACTCTATGTACAACAATCAAATATTTTTATACTTTCCTTTTATTTATTTGACAGGACTTAGAACTCTCCCCAATCCCCACAGGAATATGGCATGTAACACAGGATTATGGCATATAATATAAAACAAAAGGAAAACAAAAGAACATAGGATAAACAGTTAAATCCAGAGCGGTACAAAAAAAAAATCCTGAGGAAAGATAAAACCTCAAGGCAGCCATCTGGCACCAAAAGGGTGATGAAATAAAGCAGTTTTAATTTGTTTATGGAACAGCAGAAAGGTGTGGGCTGCACACATTTCTAGAAGGAAGTTACTCCATACTTTGGGAATCATGACAGGGAAAGTCCGCTGTTTTATCCATTTCCTGCAAACTTCAGGAAGAGAGAGAACTTTCAGCAGGTCCCCTCTTCATGACTGGACTGGATGGGCATATTTTGTTCTGACAAGAAGTTGTCAGATGCATCAAGTTGAGCTTTAAAAGTAATTACCAGCTCTTTGAATTGGGCCCGGATTGTACTACCTTTGCGCATATACATGATACATAGGTTAAATTGGTCTAATGTTAAGGGCAGACTTCAGGAAATCAGGTGCTGGAATGGGACAGTTACCTTATATATAGCCTTATATTTGTGCTACTTTATCTCCATGCTGGCTCATTGTTGGCTTCATCTGGTGTGAGATGCAGCACCTGATTAGTCCTATACAGATGCAGTCTTTGACTCTCTCCCACCCCAAGTTTCCCGTTCCAGTTCATGGTTTTTTTGCAACAGTGTGCTACAATTTATCAAGCAAAGTTTTCAGCAACACAAAGCATGCTGTAGGGGTCGCTGTCCAACAGGTAGGTCTTTCTATGTTCGCGAAAGCTGCAGAGATAAATCCACGGCTCACCTGCTCTGCAGTGGGTGGTTCCCATACACATTCCCGTAACAGCTGGCAAAAGAGGACTGAGATAGCGTATCACAATCAGGAAGTCCTAACAAAAACTGATTCCGCCAGTTCACGGAGGAATTTGTTGAGGATGCTAAAATGGAGGAGATAAGAGATAAGGAGGAAAGAATGTCAGCAATGAATACTTTCTTGATTTGGATAACAACTGCTTAGATAAAAATTTGGCTGAGTTCAAAGAAACACTGTACGAAACATCCCAGATGAAAGGGCAATGCCCATCTGATTAGGAGAAGACTCCCTTTTAATACAGCCCCCTCTCCCGCAAATCCAACACCTGGGACTTGGATACCAATACATTTACAGGAACTTTGTGGGGAAAGCTTATCTTAAAGTATTTATAATTTTTATTCCAGCTTTGCTGATATAAGGTGAACTTTAGCAAATTCATGCTGAGCTCACTGGCTTTCAGCCAAAGAGATGAAAGATGAAATTAAAAATGATCATCTCCCTGGTGATGTACTCATTAGGGTGTTGGATTTGGACTGAAAAAAACTGCTTTAAATCTCCATTTAGCATGTGCTAAATGTGCTCTGGGGCCATCGCTCTTTCTCTAACATTTGGAACTGTATCTGCAACAGCAGACACATTTGCTAGACCTGTCCTTCCCATAGGAGCTCATTATAGGCCCTTTCTCAAAGTTATCCTCTCCTACCATTTGGGTTGGTTTGGGAGAGAGATTGAATGTGAGTTTTTACCTGAGTTTTCTTAATTCTAACCCAACACCTTCTCTACCATCCAGGCTTTGTCACATTTTAAGATTTTCTGAAGTTTGTGTATCATTATTATTATTATTATTATTATTATTATTATTATTATTATTATTAT